TTGATGTTGATTGGATCGATTGCGCTTTTTGGGGCTTTTTGGAGGGTATTTATGATTATGGTTTTGTATATACCCCAGTCTATTTTTTTAATGCTCCATTTGACAGTGGGTTTGTTTTGCAGTTGTGGGGTAGAATCTAGGTATGTAACTTTTATGGGAAAATGATCGCTGTTATGGAGGTCTAATAAGGATTCCCATTCTAGGGATTGCGTCAATTTACTACTACAGAGTGTTAAATCGATCGCACTCGTTTTAATAAAAATTGTATCACCGCTACTTTGTTTCCGAGACGGCACTCACTAACACTAAAACTACGGCACACGTGACGGTACGAGCTAAACTATAACACGTCCGATCGGTTCCGCGGTCACAGCGAGACTCCAAATCTGCCGATTGATTTGTGGAGAATAGATAGATATAGATAGAAAGTATAATGAGTCGATATACTTAATTGTAAACGAAGATGACTTGATTAGAGTGCTGAATTGCACTAATGTAGAGATTGAACATCCAATATAGTTGATAATAGATAGTCTGAAGTATGAAAAAAAAATATATTATTAAATAATCCTAGACGTTTTACACCCATCCTAGTTACCCTAATTGACCATAGTACGTGTCAGACGTAATAATTTCGTTCTTGGCCGCGATTCAAAATATAAAATTCATCGACGAGCCCGCTAAACGCTGCACTTTACGGGAACATAAACCCGACTCTGCGGGTTAAAATTATATCCTAAATTATCACCCACTTGTAGGTTAACGTTCTTCATCGATTCAGACTAGGAAAAATTTATGCAAACCGAGATAATAAAGTTTCGTAACAATCGTCGGTGGACTCGATATCGTCATCGATATTCATGCAATATGCGAGCTGCGATATTGGAAATTAATTTATTGGACCATCGTTTCACCTATGCCAACTAGTAATAATTACAGACGGTTTTTGGAAATGGAACTAAATTATTATAACACGTTTCACGTTACTGGTTTGATACGCAGATCAAACGTGGTTCATGTTCGAACTCCAGCACATTTTAGTCGCATAGCTTGGAAGTTTCTTACTGGTAATTACATCGATCGACGAATTAGGGTAGAATCAACTACGTGACCCGCGCGTTTCCTGGGCTTAAATTCTGTGGATTATTATTGTTCCGTCCTCGCGGCGAATTCTATTCCGTTCTATCGATAACTGTTTTTCGTCGAGCGGCTAAAACGTTCCTATAAAACGAACTCCCGCGGAAAGGGATCATCATGTTAGGAGAAAAATTTTATTCACAGCCTTATATTTCTTCCTTAATGCTCGAGAGGGTCGTTTGGTTTAGAAGACGCAAATTTATACGGTCCTTGCCTCGGTTTTATGTAATTTATTCTGGTGATCACTATATTCGTTATATTTGTTCAATAGATTGTCTCGTAATGGTTACAAAATTACAAAAATTAGAATTGGAAAAAAATCGTTAATATTAATGGAAATATCTATATACGGTATAAAAATTCATTATTTTCTTTTACTGTAGAAAACAGAACTTTCGGGTAGACGTGATATATAGCGAACGTATTCCTGAATTGAATCATATTGATATATTGAATCTTCTTGAATTTTCTTGGCGAAGCAGAAGGCATGGACATGATTGGTCGAACATGTTCATTCCAAACAGTTTTCAAGTTTGATTAACTGCCGGTTGCCTCCGGGATTCCACGAATTATGAGATTATTGGATCGTCTTCATCTGTCTTGAAGATTCGATATAACGCTTGGGGCACCGAGTGCATCAGATATTAGAGTTGCCTGTTCTAAACCATTCAATCTATGTTCAAAAGTCTTGAAACGGTTTATTAAAGTATAAAATCTTCGGGAAGTTTGTTACGAAATATTTTTATTATTAATTATTTCGAATATAATACGTTCCTTTTCGAGAACGTTTCTTGCAACGACTATAGAAGCTCTGGAAACGTATCTGATAGTTTTTCTTCGAAATGGCATCGGTCAAAGGTGTCCAAAGTCGTTTCGAATCGCTTTCCTTTGAATTTTATTTTCAATTTGAGAGTGGAACGAAATGCAGGACGCTGAGTCAGGCGAATACTGTAGACAGGCGAGCGGCACGACATCTTTTGAAGCCAAAAAGTGGTGTACACTGGTAGCTTTGTCAGAAGGAACGCTGTCACGTTGCAAAGACCAATTGGTGGTTCGTAGTGAAAGCGAATCGGAACAATTTTGGCTAGCAAACGTTTCGTGCCAACGATGCAGTACACGCCATCGATCATCTGGTTTCTCCTGCAAACCTTTTGTAAAAATTTAAACAACTCTCGACTCTGTTCTATTTCTTCGACGATCGTCAAAAATGCGTTACAGTGACCTCACAGAGAATTCTATTATCAATCGGTACGAAAATCATAAGAAAACATTTATCTAAACACAAATTAATATATTTCTCAAAATCCCATAAAAGCACAATTTTTTAGTCTACATTTATTTCATTTTGCTCTGAAAAATTCTTGAACCATTCAAACGAATATAATCAGCAGGGGGGATGATTCTGTTTCAACAAATCGGGGAGAAATTATTTCTTATAACAGAGGACTATTGTATTTACTAATCATCTAATCAGATTTTTCTTCGCTTTGTCCTTTTTACAGTGTATGGTAAATTAACGATTGCTTTTCCAATCCAAGAGCAATTTATATTATCGATAAATATTATCGTCTTATGGAAGTTTAAAAAGACGAAGTGGTTCGCTTAAAATATGATGGTAAGATTAAATCCGCGACGCTATATTTCATGTAAATGCAGTCAACTCCATCTTATGAATTGCTTTAATAACAACGCGATCCGTAATACACCGGATACGTCGAATTACTCGGAATCTCCTCCTTGTCGCCGCAAATGGATGCCACTCGCACATTTTCCAGGTCCTCGCGTGAACGTATTATGCTCGTACACGCCTGGTTCAACGTGTCCCGCCAATCTTAATTATTTTTAAGGGAACTGGGTCAGATTCGAAATTGTCGCTACACCTCGAATGACATTTTAATATGCCAGCTTTCTTTTTTTCTCCGAACTACTACAACGCGAGAGAAACTATTTTTATAACTGCATCCGTTTTATTTATTATAAGTCCAGTCAATGCTATAACATTTTAAGAAACTAGTTTGAAACGTTTGATTTTATCAATTAATTTAGAAGTTTGTATCAGTTTATATATCTACACAAAAATTAGACACTGAAAAAGAAAGATGCTAAAATAGTTACGTGTGTATTTGATTTTCAAAATTCAAAATCTAAATTACTATTTGCTACTTTCACATTTCTGTAATATAAAAACTCTATAATATTTGATATCTTAAACAGTGCTTTTATAAAGAAGAATACAAAATTTTTTGAACAAATAGTTTACAGTTATCAAGTTTGGCAGAAAAATACACGCAGGACAAGGAAGATCCTGACGTTTCAAAGAAATGAACAAACCGTATCAGACCTTGGTCGTATAAGCGTTCGTGTGTATAAACTACCAGATCGGATTAACGTCAGACAAGAATTGCCTCAATGTTTCAACGCCAAGTTATCGCTGTACATGAATGTCACGGGCTAGTCAATACGTATGCATCACCTTGGCCCGTAAACGTATCGAGATAATCAGGCAAGGAGTTAACCATTTGTGGAAGCTGGATATGCCAGACAACGTGCATTTTTCGTTTCGAACGTATTTTAGAAAATCTCTAGAAACCCGGTAGAAAATAACAAAAAGCAATTTCCCCAATATGATAATTCATTAAATTAAAATAAAACATCTACGTTGTATTCTACAACGTTTGTGGTTCAAAATTTTGTTTCGATCGTAGAGTAAATTTTTTAATGGACACCTAGTACATAATTTTGAATCCCTTGTGCCACAATCGTGAGTGTACAATTCCATAAATTCTGGAATTCGAGATTCTGACATTGCTGAGCTTGGACAATAACTTACAGTCATGAATCAACCTTCGTGTCATCACCATTGTTATCTAATCACATTTGTGATACTAGCCATAAATTTAGAAACAAAACAAAAACATTCGGTGAGTTCAAAATGTATTTTTACTGGAGAAGGTGACAATTTTCCATTTGTAATTGTAGTATAATGAATGAGATACTAAGATATTTAATAATACACAGATATAAAATTTATTTAAAATAATTTTTCGTAAATATATTGTATACTGTTTCGCAGTAACGATTCAAGCCACAAAATACGAGTAAACACTACACGGTGGCCGTGCGATAATATATTTTGTGATAATCGAAAATGATTTAAACCCTTATCGAAATGCACTGTCGTCCATTATGCAATCAATTGAGCCACAATCGGAAAGTGCCTAGTCCCGCGGTTATCAATAATGAGTTAAGCCGCCATCGGCGATCATTAATGAATTAATCAGAAATTGTGTTCAAACATTGCGCGTTAAAAGGTCTAATGGTACCTTATTAGCGATATAGTATCATAAATTATTAGTTACCGCGGGAAGGTCATGGAAACTCGCGAGCAAACGAGGAAATTTTAAACAACTTTAAACCGAAAACAAGTTTCTAACTGTCAACATGCAAACGTCATCAACTCTTCACGGAGGCTGGATTTTTCGTATCAAAGTATTGTTTTAGATCCATTACATTAGATCCACTTTAAATCCACTCTATCGAGGCTAAAACAAAAAAGAAAAAAAACTTCTTTCCTCGATAATTCCAAAACCACCGTCCCAACGGACGCCAGTCTTCGTCCGAGTTGTCCAGCACCCAGAGTTTTCCGTCGCGACCATAATTATTTAAGAGTTCTCATGCGTCCAATTCGAACCATTAAAAAAGTAGTTGAAAGTTCCCGACGGTTCCGTTCTCTTTGTTCGTTTTAACGAGAGATGTTTACTTCGAAAGAAACGCCAAAGAATCGTCCGGCGTGCAACTTGTCGCGCGACGAACAAAATAACGCGCAAAGGAATATTAAATTCCAACGCGGATTGTTTAATTAGAGCTGGAGAAGCGGCCGCAGCCGCAGCCGCCTCGGAGCTCTGAGGAGCTGGAGGATCTGCACAAGCTACTGCACTTCCCCGAGGAGGTGGCGCTCAGGTTGACGGAGACCGAGTACCAGCTGTTCTACCAGGTACCGCCTCAGGAGTACCTGAGGCACGTGGCACTAGATCAGAATACGCAGAAACCACCTGCCAGGCCACCCCCGTCGCCGAGTCACAGCTTCAGCGCTCCCAGCACCGCCAACAGCTCTACCCAAACCGAGGAAGAGTCGAACTGGCCTGTTTCCAACCTTTTCTCTTCCGTTCAGACGCTCATCGATCGGTTCAACGAGGTAAATATATCGTATTCGATCTTACGCTTGAGAAACTCGACGTTCCGGCAAACATTATTCAACCCTTTTCTTTGAGAAAAACTAGCAACACGACTTTGTTAATGTTTGATGAACTTCTCACGAGATAATATAAAATTATTTTATAGACGAATGGACGTTTAAAATTATATCGATCGAGTCATAAATTGTATAACGTTGAAACAACTTTATTGTAATTATTCATTTTAATTTAATAAGAATTTGATCTATCTGATGTTACACATTCATCACATACTATTATATTATAAAATTATTAAACAATTTAATGTGGTAAATAGCATATCTTTCTAGAATTAATAAATTGTGGTATTTAAATGCCAGTTGGTAAAATCTGACGAAGAAGCTTTCCTAAGTTGGGGGAAATAGAAATGTTCAATTTACGAATCACGTATGATCATTTTAAGAATCATTATTGAAGTTCGTAGCCTTAAATAATAAGACAAATAAGACCTACCTTGAGTAATCCGATCTTTAACCAAAGTATTTAATAATACAATTTTTAACCAACAATAGTAATAATATTTTAGATGGTACAGGAACATTGTAAAAGAAGTGTCCAAACTCTGATGCGAGTAGATTTACAGAAGGTGTTGGTTGAAGTGTAATAGTCTGCCCAATACTTCAGGGATTTCGAAAACTCATCCAGAAGAACAAACTAAGACTTCTAATAGTACTTTTGAGCCATGGAAAGTTTCAAGTAATGATATCGGTTTGAAAGTACAGTCGAGAATGGGGAAATATTGTAATAAATCCATGACTACTAAATTACTAGACTAGGCACTTTGTGTTCTAAACCTATAAATTCTAGCTAATAAATTAAATTTAATAAATTAAAGTTAATAAATTCAATAATTTGTGAAACGAAAATTAATTAATAATTTTTCTGACAGATTCTTATAATAATCAATTACACTTTCTAACTATTCTTAAAGAATCGTGGAGTGTAGTTGACAGTATTAAGCACACCACTGCAGCAATTTTATTAAGTATAGAAACAAAAAATATCCATCATTATTTAATTCTACCATGTCCACGGCACAGTCAATCTATTCCATTGACGAAATAAAAAAAATCCTGTCTGGGAAAAAGGTTTCACTTTTGTTAAAACAGACAGTTTCGAAATGCATGGCGGAAAGCCTATGATTTTAAGTAATTGAAACGAACTGTATTGATTTTTCGAAGAACAATACCCATTGGTAAAAATTGGATTCAATAAATTTGTCCAGATTCGTCCCGAAATTTGTGAATTAATAGCAACCAGTGGAACACATTTTGTGTGTATGTACAAAAATGAATTACTGCGTCTTCTAGTCATTCCATATGTATGTATTATACAAAGAAATATAATTCATGAAATATGTAAAAAAATTGATAAAAATAAATTTTAAACAAATCTACTGAAAAATAGTAATTTGATCAATTCTTATGCTTTATAAGTCAACATTTTTTATGCAAAAATATCAGTTCATGAACATCGAAATTCATAATTTTCTTATACGAAATCTTCGTTTCTTACGGAAATTTGCATTCAAAGTACAAATTGAAATGCGCCACGCTTCTCCGTGACATATGGAAATTCATATCTTGATAATTATATTTCCACGAAAGACGTGAATATAAATAAACTCACATAATAAACACGTTATTTATTCATAATATTTGTATGCGATTCGTGATCGAAGTAGCATATGTTTGCATCCAATTTAGCTGTTCAAATTAACTTTTGCCCGGGAATACTGACTGCAGAGAAAATATTCCTCTATATTTATCCACTAACTAAAAACATAATGAAATAAAGTATATCCTATAACGTGGCTGCAGAACTAATATAAACATAACATATTTATTTTCCATATGCATTTGTATAATTAGAAAGCTTAATTAAAATTATTGTATATTTTATGTTTTTCGTGAAACAAAAAATATACTCATAAAATGTTTCATTTTGGCATGGCTCATTTTGAATTTTTAATCTTCTTGTCGAATAGGATTACTGAAAACAGTACTGTTTATTTATACTATATTAATATTGTTAGTATTGTAAATTATAACTGATTACAATACAATATAATACTATTATTGCCTTCGTTATAAAAATTGTTTTAACCATTGAAATTGTTATATGTTAATCAGGTAAGCTCATGGGTCACCCACACGATACTAAATAGCACGACGATAGAAGAAAAACAAGCAGTATTGTCCTGCCTTCTCCGAGTAGCTCAGACCTGTTGGAATACCGGAAACTTTAACTCAGCCATGGAAATTGTTGCCGGTCTCAAGTAAGCACCATTTCTCTCGTACACGCATGCTTAACTCTAGTTTCCATTACTCTGCTCTCATAGAACAGAATGCACTGTTCATCCTTTGGCAATAACAGGTTCAAAGTGGACCAGAAATATAACGGTGATCAAATTTCGCCTACCCGTTTGAAAAATTGTCGCGGTTCAATTTCGAGCCTGTAATAACTTCTTGGAAAATACTGTAGATTGGTAAAGGAAGGAGCAATTCCTTTAACGTCCCCAAGGTCAAGAAGCTCCATCTATCTCCCCAGTTAATCTTTCTCTAGTCCCCTTCTCATAGTCTGTAGTTCTCAATCCTGGCTTTCGAACGATTTTTCGTGCGAGTATAAACCGAAAGCGTGCGATAAAATTCTTTCTCGCGTCACTCTGTCCTCCAGAAGAAACGATTTTGGTAAAATTTCGTAAAATATAACGAACGTTAGTGTGATAGTAAATCGTAGATATAAAATAGAATAATCAGCCCTGGAAAAAATTGTGAGCTGTATTGTATTTTTATAAATACAATCTCTGATGATCTCGAACGACCATCTCTGATTTTTAAGATATTTTTTTATTGGTTGATATTCCCAAGAGACGAAAACTATCACAAAATTTCTGAATTATATATTCTATAATCAAAAGTTACCACTTCTATAATCAAAAGTTACTCGAACCTGATTCATCTTATTCGTGGTATTACATTCCCTTTAACTCGGAGCTTATCTTTCATTCTCCTTACAATATGATATCATCAATTTCCCGTCTATATTACTATCTAGAAACTAGCTAGAAGTAGTTAAAACAGATGATATCGTACCACGACGTCTCAATTTTAACGACAGGATATCACAAAGACGCTCCAAAGATAAATTCTTGTATTGCAATTTAATATCCAAAGATCATTGTTTTTCTAATTCGAGCAATTTCTAAACGAATCCGTTCGATAAAACTGCTTTAACTAAGCGAACGATACAATCCAAACGATTATAAGCAAAATTAATATAATGACTGTTTAATTAATTACCAATTACTTGATAAATACATAATTACCCCATATTCTTCGCGTCGTTAACGTTGAAAAGCGTAGAGATTAATTCCTACATTTAAAACCATTTCCTATACGCCTATATGTAGGTTCATTATTTAATTTATCGAATGATCACGTTACATGTAAAATACAATTAGGTAATTAATCAAGGTATTATTTCAATTACACTGTCTCAATTAATTCCGAGAGCAGAAAAATAATACATAATATAAAGTTAAACTAGATACAGAAAATAGCTATCAAGAAATTATTAAAAAAAAAAACATAAAAACGAACATAAATTGTTTACGGAAATTTGAAAAGAACAGTGTTCCGGTAGTGTTTGTGTACGTAGAAAGCACTTCCATTTCAAATACCAACATTCTCTGACGTATTTTACAAAAGAAATGCGTCTTATGACCATCTCTATATTCACGATCTATATGACAATAAATTCTTTCATGTTTCAAATGAAACAACAGCATCGAAGAGATCGCAAGGAACAACATCGTGTTTATCCAAGCGTATTGAAATTGTTACTGGTAATACTTGTGCTGGTTAAAATATAAAAATAGCTTTATCTCTGTTAAAATTACAACGTGAATTATGGAACAGAATAATTTTTTATCATACAATTTGGGTTTTGGGATGAGTAGATTCTGCAGTACGTCGTTGAACTATTTACGTTCCCGAAGATTGGTATCGCTGTGTATGAAAACTCCTCGACGTTTCAACAAGTTTATCGTTCGTGAAATGGAAAGAAAGGAATTCCTTTCAACTAAACAGTTAGAACGATCAATAACAAAGCGTAACAAAAACACAGCCACGCGAACTGTGAAACGACTCACCATTCAGTGATCGTACAATGGATGGGGGAAAACAGATTGACATTGTTTATAAAGCTACAATTTCTCCCTACGTTAACTTTGACACATTAAATATTCAATGCGCCCGGTGTGGCGCATCATCGGAATTGACAAATATTTTTCAGAAGAATTTATATCGCTCCTGTGCAGTCTGTTTAATTTTATTCCTTCGATTCGTCATAAATTTTTCAAAGCATCAAGAACCCTTGTGCTTTTTCATTTTTTTTTTAAATTCTTTATATAATGTATTATAATGAATAACTCGATAAATTTTTTCTTTGATTCTATAATTTTATTTTTTCATATAAAAGTTAAATCTAAATTCTTAACATTATATTACTGTTAAATCATATCTTTTAAAATATATATTTGAAATTACTATTCTGAATTTTAATTTCAACGTTCTGTTGTTATTTTTTCATAAAGCAAGTCCATCTTTCATAAAATTAAAAAAGACTTGCATAATATATTATAGTAAATGATTACTGGATAAATTTTTATTTTGCTTCTATAGTTTTATTTTTTCATATGAAAGTAAAATCTAAGTTCTTAACGCACTTATTATCGTAGAGTGTGAATCATTTTATTGACGACAAAATGATACAACAGTTCGTTACTCTTAGTTATTGAAATAAATATGTATCATATCTTTTAAATATATTTTAAATTATTATTTTGAATTTTAATTTCTTCAAGTAAAGCTACGTTCTGTGGTTATTTCCTTTTATTAAATTAAAAAAGAGACTTAACTGAAGGGCTCGAACGTTGACAACGAATGTTTGAAGGGTGTAATCGAAGCATACACGAGTTAAACGTCTCGAGGACTCGATGAAAATGTAAATTCATCGGTTGCTACTCCATTTCGCCGGTTGGAAGGTGCTGGAGAGGCATCTAAACTGGAAAATGGGTCCCAGCGCGAATTGAGTGAGACAAATTGTGCCGGCCGAGTAACCGTCTGCGCTTCCCTGTTGTCCAGTCAGAAGATTGAACCATTTTTGGACAGGCTTGTTACGCAGAATGAGAAATGGATATTGCACTGTGATGTTACTCCCAAGAGTCGGTGGACAAACATCGTCAAAACTGCCAGCTTCCAAGAATAATAATGTCCTGCATACTGTGAAACAGAAACGAAATTATCTATTTTGTAATCATTCGAAGAATTAATATCTTAATCGAATGTTTCTGACCAATGACAATTACTTGATTAAATTGTTCAAATTATTTTAATTAACTATCAGGTACTTCTTTTGGTCTTTAGAACAGGGCTTTGAGAATCTTTGTCCAGTCAGACGAATATTTTCACAAAAAATAGTTTATTTACTATAAACCTAGGTGCTCGATTGTTATTTAACGATACTAGTTCACCGTGGATGGGACAAATGTGCAATACCAGTCACGTTGAAAGGTATTGATAGGTCACTGTCGGTAATCCATACATCGCTGAATGTCATTGACGAGTAGTATCGCAGTTCTCTTGCACGATAGTTTGCTTTCATTGTGTATATTTGAATCGCTATTGTGCAAACAGGTGGCTATGCGTGTCGAAATCTGAGTTCTTTCTGCAGCTCGATCTCTTTCGTGACAATATAATCCACGTATCAGTAATTTCGAATTTTCAGTCGAAAATATTTCTAAAATTACTCCCACACCAGACCCATCGAATTATCCAACGAAAATGAAATGTTGTTATTAGACAATTGAAAACTAGCATACTCCGAATTTCTCATACAACTTATTTTTACAATCTCGTTAAAATAGTCTAGATTTCTTTAACACTTAATCTTTAAAATCAATTATTTTAGCTCCTCAGTGAAAAATCATGTCATATTAAGTAGTATTAAAAAGCAAAATAAAATGTGTAAAAAAGTCAGTAGATAATAGAGTCATTGCCATATAAAATGATCAATGATTTTGTTTTATATTTATTTTGAAGATAGTTGCAACGTGGCCCAGTTACGAGACTCTGTATAGAACAACCGATGAGAGATTGCGATTTCTTTCGCGAGAAGATTGAGTTAGCAAGACTTATCCTCCCTTCTCCGTATCTAGGGGAAGTCGCTGACCGTAGCCCAGTCTTTCATCCATTTTTATTTTAGACGTTGGCTAGAACACCCGGAGGAATCTTACAAAGTATCGAGAAGCACTCTTCCGTTTCGATCAGTGATGCAGATTGATCTTTTGTCAAAATTTCGTGCAATTGAACACCCAACGCGCTCGGGGACAATATTTTATGCGAAAATATGGAAAGCATAAAGCTTCTTTAAACCGTAAACATTACGCGAATACCGGTTTCGTGCAATTACATTTATCATTGTGGGCGACAGATGTAAAGGCCACCTTGTTCGCGTTTAAAACAAAATTACAGTCGAGTGGGCAGGTATTCGTGTTTTCATACATCACTCGTGAATGCGTCGGATGTTTCCACAAATACGACAAACAATCGCGTGAAAATTTTGTCGGGTTTTCCTGATGAAGAGAGATTAAATATTCTATACAAATTCTGGCGTATAGAAAAAAGTGTATCAATGGCAAAGGTATGAATGACAAAATAAATGGTAGAATAAATAACTGCTTTGGTCGATATTCATATTTAAAAATGTGCCCTTTACAACTTTTTGAGTTTCTTCGTGATGTTTCCTCCTACGCCTAAAACAAAAATGGATAACAATGTTTTTTTCTTATTAGTATTTCTGTTAAGAGTCAGCGTCTTACAAGGAACCATCGCGAATGGTCCGGCTTCGATTTTGATGAAACTTTGTACACTTATAAGGCAGCCAAAAATAATCGACACGTATTTTTTTTAGCTGCGGTAACTCGAGTTTAAGGGGTGAAACCACCCCTTGAAGTTTTGGCTCGAAACGGCTATTTCGAAAACGGAAAGAGATACAAAAAAATTGTTAATGGGCGAGGTTAATGGTTTCTTATGTACAATAACATGGTGTTAAAAAATATAAAAAAATACAATTTGTTTATAACAAAAAAAAATTTATTAACTTAATTTTTCATTTTATTGAAATTTTCATAATGACAAAAAATGACGAGCATTTTATTCCAAATCCATTGGTATGCGATTTTTTAAAATTGCCTCTTACAGTTTTGCAGATTTT